GATCAGCTTCACGCCTCAGCCGCTTTTCCTCCTGGAAAGATCGCCTGTACTCATTCGACAGTAGGCCAGATGGTCCACAGAAGCGGTCTGGATGACGTGAAGAAGAGAAATCTTCCAAAGTCTCGAAATCTGATCCCTCGGTCGTCCATTCCGTAGCCAGTCGGTTTACCGACTAATATATACACTCTGATACTGTGATAAAAATATAATTAAAAATGTTTTCAGGTGTGATTTATGGAATTCATGAAAGAACAAAATATTCAACCTCTTCGTTTACATGAGTCTTCTAAAAAGCAACCTGTGACAAATGGCGTCGAAAATTGGTGGAAACTTGGGGAAAACCGGGTAGTTGGAAAAACGGTGGTGGGGGGGGTACTCAATGCTCTCTTGTGAATTGCAAGTGTACTAGTCAGTCAGTGGAAGGTTGTCAGTATCGTCAGTATCGTCAGTATGAAGAACGAATAAAAACGAGATATTTGTTCGCAGGTACTTGGATATGACCTGATTTTGGCGGTATCTTGTAACTCTTTTCAGTTCACTTGATGCTTAGTGGAATTCAGAATCGATACTGAAAACTCAAAAGGCACATATTCCTGTATAAAGGATTTTCGTGTCATGCTTAAATTTATATTTAATTCTAGAAGGTTGAACAGTGTTTTCACTCAAGTAATAAAGTGTGATCTACTAAAGAAAGAACATGCTTCTCCTTTTTACCCTGCCTGATAAGTAAAACAAGGCACTTTCGTCTTTTTGAAAAATTTAGTTATAAAAAAAACACTTCATAAAACCAAATAATGGGCCTCGATTTTGAAACTACAATAAATGAGCATCACTTCCAGTAGATTTGACATTCCCACAGAAAATAATTAATGACTTACAGGCCATTAAAATTAATGTACGCTGTAATACCCTGCTCTCCACTATGTAAGCAATGTATTTATACTTTAAAACTGGATATGTTGCTTCAAGTCTAAAGTTGTTTCAGATATTTAAGAGGTACACGAGGTACAGATCTTTAGCCGGAAGAATAAGTGCTGCAAAAGAGCACCAATAACACTAATACCACTAATACAATATCCCGCCATTGGAATCAATCCTCAAGCAATTGCAATCACCTCCCATTTTCAGAGGATATCTCCCTAACACACCCAATCTTATATCCTTGAAGCTCGCCTCTGTTGTTGAAAGCACACTTTCATTTCTGATGTCTCTGTGAACGCTCCATCAACAGAAAACACTTTTACAGAGATTAATTTTCTCCCTATGCACAGCCCCCAAAGCTGTAGGGAACCTCTTGCTGGCTATTCATAACTACAAATTATATTCGTTCGCAGTGCTTTTATGTATCTCGAGGCCGGATCTTCATTCGCAGCGCAATAACTCTACATGTCGTGATGATAAATGGCTTAGATAACAACGCTTAATGTTTTCCCTAATTCTGCGCCTACAGTTGTAACAATATAAAGGTTTTAATTTTACAAGTCTGTCCTATTATTCCACAAATACATGAGTGCTAGAGGTAGGCCTTTTTTTTTAATTCGCTTAGTGGGGGGTGGACTCCAACTGGGTTCACTCAGCACGGCGGCCACTGATTGGCCTATTGTAGCCTGCCGCGGGTAATTATGATGATGGAGAATTTGGTGGAATGAAGATTGGCAGGGGAAACCGAAGTACTTGGAGACAACTCGTCCAAGCGCCACTTTGTCCACCATAAATTCCACTTGACCAGACCCGGGATCGAACCCGGGCCGCCGCGGTAGGAAGCCAGCAACTAACCGCTCGAGCTATCGCGCGGCCTTAGGTAGGCCTTACTATTAACTCACTAATGCTACCCTCATCTCCAATATTGAGAAGAGTGGTCGAGAAAAGCGGTTACGAACTCTTATTTCTTGGTTCACATAACATACGAATCATTATTTCTTCAAAGGGTTTGTATTTATAAACTTAAAATCTTTCAGGAACCTAAAATACCTGACTTGCCGATGTACTGTTGTATTGAAAAATCGGTGGACGGTTTGTAGGTTTCCTGGCTCAGGTGGAGAAGCCACTGCCTGCGATACAGGTCACGATGTGATTAAGAGCCTTTTCTATATGACTCAGAATTAATGTAAACATGAACGTATAAAGCGAAGTTCCTGTTCACAGGTTCCTCAGAATAAGCGTGACTTCACCAAAGGCATAAATCTTGATATACACCATCAAATGAAATTAAAATATCTTATGATACTTATTTCCTAACAACAACATGTTCCTTTCTTTTATAACATTTTGTATAACGTTGTTAAGAGCGACATTCATTGATAATTATTGGGCACTTTCACCGCCATTTTATATTACCCACTAAGTACAAACAAATGGATTTGAAAATGAATGTTAATTTCTTTAATATATGATTTCACAACTGCAATTACATACACTCATACTGAATAACATCACCTGAAAGGCGGACTGCTTCAGTTCTGGCCGAAAGTTAGTTTTACTTTGTTTCGTATATAGTATAGAATCTCCCTCAATGTATTAAGGCGCGTCCACATTACTCGTGCTCGTGCTTGTGCTCGTCGGGAGACTCGTCTGGCTTTTACTTTTGCTCGTAAATCTTCGTCCACACTACTTCAGTTGCTCGCCAGGCTTCGGCGTGTGAGGATCCGTATATTTACTCGTAGTGTATATAGGCTGTAGTCGTATTTTAATTTACTGGCTACAGTTTTTAAATTAAAAATTTTAAATTTGCTTGTCTCGTGACTTGTCATATCGTCCACATTATTCGCGAGCATAGCCAGTCACACGAGCAGGAGCACGAGCACGAGTAATGTGGACGCGCCTTTAGGTTGAGAAAGATGTGGCTGAAGCGATTAGTTGTACTGTTATAGTGCAAATGAAGCCACGCCAGGGCGTTGTTTTATATTATTTTTAAACATGTCTTTTCTTGTTTTCCAGAAGTTGTCCTTAAGTGGAACCACATAGATTTTTCAGTCGACTCTTCAATAATCTAACCATTTCTAGCAACAAAACCGGATGTCCAACACACCTAGCAGCCAAACCCGACAATGGACAAGACCTTGAGTCAGTTTAATGTATTTCACAATTTTAGAACTTGTTTTCAAAATATCCATTTTAATGTCATCCTCCAATTAAGCTTACCATATTACAAGGTGCACTTTATTAAGTATGATTAACAAAGAAAGCAATCATATTGAGCAGAATCCTTGAAAATTTAATAGTCACATAACTGACTACGAAATTAAGCACATATAAGGAAACTGAAAATTCATTTTCGTGTTCACAAGAAGTAGCCAATTGTCCCTTTGATGAGCTAATTAATGTTTTAGAGTTTCACTAAAACTACATCGTACTGCGTGAGGAATATCAGACCGTCAGCTTCACTCGACTCCCCTTATGGAATGTTACAGAGAATATACACGAATTCTGAGCCGGGCAAATGGACCTGATTTTGTGGCATCTTGGCGTGTCAGACACCATACAATTCGGCTAGTGTGTCCGCTGCTCAATTGAAATTAAACGGAAGCAAAAGCGTGGAATAAGAAAATCTAACTCTGTGGAAATTATGAAAACATTTTGTGTGGCTATTAATGTATAAGCTTCTCTGTTAGTGTCATGATACTGAAAGCACATCCCTCATCCATTTCAAAATTTGTGTATGTTTGTGCACTAATAGCCTCGTCCTCTTCCACACAACTACAACTGTTAACTACTTGCAGCGCCGAGTATTGTGTGTAAGTGGTCAATAAATCCAATTCACAAAACCAGTACCCCGTCTATGGTCACACTTCTACAACGTAACAATAGTAATTCGAATTTGATTCGCATCGCCTGTTGTTTATATATTTAATTACGCCTTTCCAACTCCATACGCTAGGGCAATATTGTTGTGAATCACGTGTCAGGAAGAATATGGAAGTAAAAATTTGTGCCCTAACCATCACGTTTCAGATTGCACTGAAGAAAATCATGTAATACTTCTACTTTTCATTTTTTCGAATCTAAAAAGTCTCATTAAAATTGTCTCATTTTAATTCACTTAAGACATTCAGATACATATGATGAAATTGCAGAAAGAACTTGCTGAAAAGATTTCAAGAAAATTTTCCAGAATAGTAGATACAGTGAAATACACGTACAGAACCGCAAGGCTAATACTTCAAAGAAGACCACATTTCCTGAAGGGCAGTCAAAGTATATACGTGGTACAGTCATTAATTTCGTGGACTGTGGTTTTATCGCGTCATATTACAAGGTATTCACATACACTTATACAGATCCACATCGACCCTCAAAATAGTTGTCGTTCGCCGCTATGCAAGTCTGCCAACGTAGATATAGCTGCTGAAAACATTGCTGAAACATATTGGCGAGAAATTCCGTGAGGCGTCTCTTGTGGCAGTGACAGCCTCCTCTGATGACTGAAATCTACGACCACGCAGCTTTGCTTTCACGCGGTGAAAGAGAAAGAAATCGCATGGTGCGAGATCAGCTGAGTACGGAGGGTGTGGCATAACGGTGACCTGTTGCCTTGCCAGTTCCTCTTGGACAAGAACAGAGCGATGTGCAGGGGCGTTGTCGTGTGGCAACAGCCAATTCTTCCTATGCCAAACGTTTCGCTAGGGGATTTGCCTAGTTTCTGGCAGAACTTGATGTTTGTCCGTTGTTCAAACTGCTACATTTTCGATTACCGCCACTCGCATTTAACTGCAGTACACAACAGAGGCTGTAGTTCTGCTTACACTGTTTGCACACAACTGCCTCTTGCTGTGACGAGAGATGAACTAACAGGAAATCATATCGTGCTTCGACCTCTCCGCTGTGGTGCACTGCAAGGACGCTGTGCGGCCAGTCCACGAAATTATTGACTGTGGTAGTATATATGAATTCCATTACCAGCCCGACTGCTTGTCACACTTCTAATGTAACATATCTACTTGAATTTCTGTATTTGATAATCGGTATGTACTTGTATATTAAAAGTACAGAACAGTACTTACTCCTTTTTTCAGACAAAGCCTGTAGAAACGCCGTGATCACGTCATGCTGCTTATCGCGCCTTGAAATGAGGGCGTCGCGACGCTTCAGCTCCCGTACTAAAAGTGATCCAACGTACTGGATGTCGGAGCGTAGAGTAACTAACAACTGTTCAAGTTCCGGAAGACCTAAACAGCAAACAACATAGATGTTGTGACCTGTGTTGTTTATTCTTTACATCTGTAAACAAGGAATTCAGAACTGGGAAAATAAATTAACTCTATAGTGAACAAAACCAATATATTCGTCACCGCTAAGACCTCATTCAGAAATAATCTACTATATCCACTTCATCTATGTATCCATGTCTTTACAGCCCTTGTGAACCTTGGCTGCTTTTCCAGTTTCTTAACCTATACACAGTCGGGAGGAATCTTTGGACGGGGGATCAACCCGTCGCAAGGCCGCTAGCTACACAGAGAACAACACAAAGAGAATAAACGCACACAGATATCAATGACTCGAGTGGGATTCGAACCCACGATCTCAGTGTTCAAGCCGGCGAAGACGGTTCATGCCTTAGACTGCATCCACCTCATAACATCACAAAATATTTTACAAATGTCAATTTTAATATTATTATATAATTACATGGATCGGATTCCGACAGGCTGTCCTCTAACAATGCTCAAAGGATGTTTCGTCTTTCCCTTCCACGAAATTTTATAATAATATCTAAAGATTCATATTTTCATAATTAATTCCGAATTGGAAGTGACCAGACGAATGATTCATGGAAGTAGTAATGATAGACATTGTGTGGATATACACAGGATTTGAAGTTTTCACAGCGGTGACTGTAAAGAATCCCATCTTCTGGGACAGAACGCCGTGTAGACCGCTGAAAGACAAGTGACGTTCCAGAAAAATATATCTTTCATCTTCAGAGTTAAACGTAGGAGTTGCCTGCTTCACTCTGGTTTCTTGCTCGGCTTACTCTTCAACACAGAAGATGAAGGGGAAGTACTTTTCCGAAACTTTGGTTGGCTTTCAGCGGGCTACAACGCACTATTTCCCAGAAGACGGAACTCTTAGCAACAATCTGAAAATTAAACTGATCGATACATTCTATTTACTCACTTCTGCACTTCAGCCTCGATTGTTGGAGCGAATCATTCATGCCGCTGACCGGATGATGAATTTGACTTTTCCATGGCGCTGAAGCGTCAGATGTGCTGCAATAATCCGACTCGTGAGCGCTGCTATTCGCGGAGTGGCGGCGTCGGTTGAAGGACAGTCCGAACGCGTTACCATACCACTTTCCATAAATGTCTAACAGAAGTTCGTCCACTAACTGAGACACACTGTGCCGGGTGTGTCTCCCACTTGGAATTCTTGATTTTGTACAATTTTCACTTGTTGAACTGCCATTGTCAACTTCTTTTTCTTCTTCAATAGAGGATTCACGGGAGAGCGATGATGACCCGTAGAACGAAAGTGATTTTCGACTGGAGGATGAGAGACGTCGGTTGCAATTGGGACGCTCTTCAGTTGAAAGAGGCTCGCTAAGAGAAGAAATTTGTGACAAAGAATTATGACAACAGTTATGCTCATTTGTAAACGGTGGAAATGTTGACAACTTTGTTTTATTATTTAAAAAATCACTAGACATTTTTCGTTGCTCTTCCATTGTAGGCAATTCTGCCGAGTGCCAATTTCTGATTGAAATGTCTTTTGTCTTTTGGCCGTCTTTCAGTTCGAATCCACTTTTATATTTAAAACCACTTATTATTCTGTTTTCATATTCCGGAATCTCCGAGGTTAAGGATCCCGCTCTTCGGTAAATATTTCGTCTCTGCAACTCCATCGTGTTGTCGGACTTTGTTTTCTCCAATACTCTGTTTTCAGGCGCAGGTTTTTCGATGAACATCGAAGCTTCCTTGATTTCTGAAGAAGACTGCCTAGCTATGATCACTTGACCAAATACGGCATGATCCAAATTCCTTAAGTTTTCTAACTGAATAACAGCCATATCTTTTCTTTTCCCCATATTATTAAAATATTCAACACAAAATCAACTTTATTAATACACAGCACACTTTACTCAAGATTAACGAATGCTTCAATCGTTATATGGAGATGGATGAAACTGCCTGGTTTGATAGCCTTATTCCGTGTTGATATTACGCTATATTCCTGTACTCCGTTCCTAGTACCTGAAAGAGAAGAAAATATATTTAATTAATTCTTGGCTGCGAGAGGTAGAAGGGTTTCATTCCCAAAGAAGTTAAGTTTCTTCATTTTCGTCCACCATGTCCAGATCGACTCTGCAACCCACCCATCTTCCTACTGAATGGTAAGTGGGAGCTCTTGCCCCTGTGAGAATGGAGCACTCATTTGCATTTAGTGCCAAGGTCTATAAAGTGTGGAGCTTTAACTCCACTCTCATTATACGCCTTCATTTTGTGGTGAATAAATTCAGGAGTAAATTCATATTTCCTTTCATGTTCAGAGTATTACAAAATATTTTATAGTTTGAATCTAATAACTTCAGATTTCCAGCAGCGAATGAATAAATATGACAATTACGGGAAAATACTTTTACATTTTTCTCACGCTGCGCAGGTTTCATAAAGAAGAAAAGTTGGATTTTTGAAAATTTATTATGAACTGTTAGAAGAATCGGAAAGAACAGCATACTCGCTTCATAAATTAACCTGGAGAAATATAAATTAAACCAGTTNCATATACACGGTGCCAAATCCCAGAAGACTGCTTTCTTCAGTTCAAAATCCTTTGACCCACACTCAAGTAGTGCCGAAGTATGTAATACGTGGACGTATCTGTTCACTCCCACATACGACTTCATAGTGTAGTGCTTAATTAATTAAGCATAGGAACAAATTCACTTTTTATCCATTTTTACTATTGTGCACTACTTTCTGCCACAAATGCCAAATGGTCCTGCTTCGCAGGTGCTAAACTGACCACGTCTGCTCGCGGGCAGGAACCTTTCTGATATTATGGCAGTGTACCGTCTGTGTACTGGTGTATGCTTCATGAAACGTATGTTAACGTTCTCTTGTGGAGCTAACATTGTGATATGAAGGCTGAACGCCAGAAAAATGGAAGGAGTGCAAGTGGTCATTTATATTCAGCCGGCGGCTACCAGAGTTCAGGAGTCAAGTCAGAATGAGTTCCGAGTTGAGCCGTTATCAAGCAACGACAAGGAAAACTTGGCGCTTGCAGTGCTGATTTATAGAGTATGTAGACTAGTGAAAATGTTACAAATTCACAGTCAGCTACACCATGTCTTGACTGGATTTAGTGATTTGAACGAAACGGGTGTTGGACAGAGTCGGTGTATGTAGGAAAGGACAAATTAGTGAGTGAGTGAGTGAGTGAGTGAGTGAGAGCTCGAGTCACCCCCAGCAGAAGGGAGTGACCAGTAGTACTCAGACTCTCCTCTCGTCGAAGATGAGGCCAAATTTCAAAACACGTAACAGCCTTGAAAAGAAAAATATGATCATGGTCCCCCACGGGACACGAAACGAAGAACTACTGAGCTAGAGAGGGGCAGCAGCAATATAACCGACTTACAGTCGGACTGAGAGGCCCCACGTTAGAGTGGTTATCTGAAGACTCCCAGAGAAGTCAGACAGTAAAATATGCACAGGTTCCTTGAAACTGGGGCTTTGTTTTTGTGGTTATATACAGATTATATGAAACGAATCCTCTCTGTACTATACGTTGTGTTTCGGAAATTTTTCTATTATATGTTGCGGTTAATTAAATGATATTTTATTTTAAATTCAAATGCAATAAAATTGTACGTCAACTGGAAACGGTAGTGGCCTACTTAATCCATTTGTTTCAGAAACTAAGAATTTAACATTCTGTAATCAGTTTCCGTGTTCAGATCTTCAGAATATCCCACGAGATTCGCCAGATATTTCAGCAATAGATCCCAATTAAGAAGGATAGAAAGAAAAATAGAAATCGTGTTTGAGTTAGACTGTTCTGAAATCATATTTTTTTTTTTTGTTCATTAAGAGTAGTAGTCTCTTACTTTGTTGTATTCATTAAACAATTTAGATATGTTTAATTCTTTTTCAGTATGTGTAATGACGGTGGACAATGAAGCCTTAATGTGAAGTGATCAAACGTAAATTTCATTTTTGCTTATTAGAAGGTAACACTTTACCATGATCTTAATTACTAGGTGTAGGTATCTAAAACAAGGCACTTACGGGATTGCAATATATAATTTTCCTTCCTCACAGGAAATAAGTTTTCCTTTCTTCCAAATACGGCGAAAGTCACGGACATAAACATGTTATTTAACGCCTTCTGACGAACCCACCTGTTAAGTGTACACTGTATAGGCTTACTCTTACAATTTCGTTCATGCAAACACAACTGTATGTAAGACTGATACCCTTTTTTCGGGTTTATGTTGGAATTCCAGGAAAGCTTGAGAGACAGCAGTTCCTTAACTTTCGTTCGGCTTGGTGGAAAATATATGAACATAAATTTGAGATAAAATTACGTGTTGATTGATGATTATATCGTTTAGCGATCCTGCTTCAACTTCAAATGTTACACAGCGTCGAAAGAGACTGGAACAATAGTATCAATTTTGAGTAAAAAGTAAAATAAAGCTATCCCTGTAACAGGCCGTGGATGCCCATAGGGTCGTGAGATGTTGAGGTTCCCACATTTTCTAGACATTCGGTTCATAGATGGCGGCAAGGTTGTCAGCCATACGCGCCGGCCGCCCTTTACCCCCAAGAATATTCCTGGTACTTATTTCTGTTAGAGGCTGAGTCGACCCCAGGGCCATAGTGCGTCTGGAAGGATTAGGTCAATTGAAAAAAAAAAATCCAATGAACTCATCGAAATTTGAACCCGCGACCTTCCGGCTTGTAGCATAGTGTCTGAACCAACTACGCTACCGCGTGCCCCCTACCAATTGTGAGTAGGAAAGTTTATGGAAGTAGGGGGTCTTGACAGATTTCAGGGTACTATCCTGGCATTCACCCAGAGAAACTGAGATAAACTGTGATACTCTGAATCAGTCAGTCAGTCAGTCAGTCAGTCAGAATTTAACTGAGTTTCCAGCCTGAAACCTCCAAAATACAATTCTAGAGCGTTACTGAAATAGTAGCACGCCCAATACCTTGTTCGAAAATTAGTGAGACAGAAACTCATACAAAAAATTCTAAAGTGTGTTTACAACCTCCTGTAGATCATTGAAGCCCCAAATATTCTTTATATCCTGCAACGCAAGGCAGACCTACTTACAGTAAAAGTATGTGTGTAACAAGGACACTTGGCGTGACATTTTGCAAAATCAGGAAGCGGATTATGGTCAGTGTGGACGGAATTACAACAGGTTACAGGGATTCAGGTATATCAGTGTTCATATCCAGTATTCTTGCTTAACTCAACCACATTATAATCGAACTATGCTACAAGCCAGAAGGTCGCGTGTTCGATTCCCGATGAGGTCATTGGATTTTTCAATTGACCTCATCCTTGCAGACGCACTATGGCCCCGGGATCGACTCAGCCTTTAACAGAAATGAGTGTCAGAAATCTTCTTTGGGGTTATGAGCGGCCGGTGTGTAAGACTGACATCACCACTTTCTGTGAGCCGATGGTCTAGAAAATGTGGGAGCCTCGACATCTCACAACCCTATGGGCCTTCACGGCCTGTTACACGGATAGCGTCTGTTTCGAATAAATTCTATGATTTTGTGCCCATATACGAATAGTTACATATATTCAAGCATAAAATCTGTGTACTATTCAGAAGAAACACCGACCTGATTAGGGCGGATATACAGCTCTAGACTTGCATTCGGGTGGTGAAAAAAAGGTAAAGTTATCCCTGTTACAGGCCGTGGAGGCCCATAGGGTTGTGAAGAGTTGAGGCCCCCACATCTTCTAGACATCTAGACAACCGGCTCACAGATGGCGATGAGGTTGTCGGCCTTGCGCGTCGGCCGTCCTTTACCCCCTCCCCAGGAAAATTCATGGTACTCATTTCCGTTAAAGGATGAGTCGGCCCCAGGGCCATAGTGAGGCTGGAAGGATTAGGTCAATTGAAAAAAAAATTCACCTTATCGGGACTCGAACCCGCGACCTTCCGGTTCGTAGCATAGTGCCTAAACCAACTACGCTTCGGGTGGCGCTCTTTTCGAATCCCGGCCGCGACACCGGCGATCCTGATTGAGGTTTCTCGTTGACCTTCCTCCATCTCTTCAGGCAAATGCTGATAATATTCTTACTTACTTACTTACGAATGGAGCTGAGCCCTTCTTGAGGAGAAGCCAAATCCGTAGCTACTCAAGAATTTTCCAGCATTTTATGGAACACGAAGGTTCATTACCACGTTCGCAAGAGCCCTCCACTGGTCCCTATCCTGAGCCAGATCAATCCAATCCATACCATCTCAACCTATCTCTCTAAGATCCATTTTAATATTGTCCACCCAACAACGCCCTGGTCTTCCTAGTGGTCTCTTTCCTTCTGGATTTCCCACCAATGTCCCATATGCATTTCTCTTCTCCCCCATTCGTGCTACATGCCCTACCCACCTCATCCTCATTGACTAGATCATTATAATTTTACCTGGAGAACAGTAAATGTTATGAAGTTCCTCATTATGCAGTTTTCTCCAACCTCCTGTCACTTCATCCCTCTTCGGTCCAAATGCTCTTCTCAACACCCTGTTCTGAAACACCCTCAGTCTATGTTCCTCCCTTTATGTCAGGGACCCAGTTTCACACTCATACAGAACCACAGACAAAATTATAGTTTTCTATATTTTAATGTTTATGTTTTTGGACAGCAGACGAGAAGATAAATGGTTCTGGACTGAATGGTAGCAAGCATTGCGCGAGTTCATCTCCTCTTAATTTCCTCCTCAATCAGGCTTTGATAATATTCTAACAAAAGTAAAATTCGTATACTAATGCAAAACAAACAATTTGTATGGCGGTGTTTTAAATCTAGCCTATATAATTTACGTGATATTGCAAGAGGGTAACCGCGGACAAAGCCCTTAATGCATGATATTTATTTATACTGTAGTTTAAAGTGATTTTTGGAGGTTAGCGAAGTAATATTTTTATTAAAAAATCATACATTCAAGGGTCAGCAAGAAAGGTACATGGCCCTTAGCCAACCCCATCACCTACCTCCATGAGAT